CTGAGCTCCCAAAGTACAATTGAAGAGTGGAAGGAGTGAGAATATGAGCAAAGAGGTCAAGACCATGATGGGGACACCCACTGAAACAGTTTACCTGAGCTAATGGGAGCTCACCAACTCCAGTGGGACAGAGAAGGAACCAGCATAGGACCAAACTAGTCCCTCTGAAAGTGGGTAACAGTTGTGTGGCTGGGGCAGACTGCAGGGGCACCGGCAGTGGCACCAGGATTAGTCCTACTGCTTGTACTGGCCTTGTGGAACACATTCTCTTTAGATGGATACCTTGTTCAGCCTCAGTATAGTAGGGAGGGCCTTGGTCCTTTCTCAAAGCAGTGTGCCTTACCCTCTCTGAGGAGTGAATGAGGGATGGAGTGAGGGGGTAGGTGGGGGGGGGGATGGGAGGAGGTGCGGGAGTGGGAATCGAGATTTGTGTGCATGAAAAAAAGATAGTTTTTCTTTTCTTAAAAAATAAAATTAAAATTAAAAAATAAAATTAAATTAAAAAAATAAATTAAAAAAGAAAGAACCAGCTTGACAATGATGAAAGCAATGCTGCTTAAGGTCTCCTTCATTAAACACCAACCCCAAGAGGAGAGCGAGGGGTCACAGACATTTGCCAGAAAGGCAGGGTCGCATGTCTTCCTTCTACCATTGGGCAGAGCACAGAGAACTTGATGTTATTTTCCCAAAGCTTTACGGCGGCGTTGTTAACGGAGATCTGAAACCCAATCCTAAGCCTTTCTGTGATAACACCCTACACTGGGACAGCTCCTTCTGAGGACTAGCAGAAAGGGGACATAGTTGGATAACAAGTTTCAGAGACAGCACGTTCCTTCATATGCACAAATCTCTGCTTATTTAAAATCTGCCTTTGCATCACCATCTTTAAGGCAGTTTTTAATTGTAAAATGCTACTTTTACAGAGATAAGACAAAAAATGACAAAGGGAATATGAGTAATAATACCAATCCATTCAAAGAGCCCTTGGAAACACCAGATACCAGGGGCACATTCTTAGTAAAGAGACAATGGGTTCCTGCTGAGTGTTGTTAACATACTAGTGAGGGGATGGAGTGGTCAGAAGGCACTGGTTGGTCTGTTGCCATTTGTCCTTTAGTCCTCCATCAAGTTATGTGGGCAATGAGCTTCTTCTCATTACATTATCTTAAAGTACCCTATTAGTTGGTGTTTCCCTCCAGAAGCACATCCCAAGGCAAGAATTCAGGCAGAACACTTATTTAAGAGATGTAAGAAGCCCTGGCAGTGAGATTAGGAAGTATAACGAGTAAGAAGAAACAGCTGATCAGGAATTAGCACCCAAGCAAGATATCACTGTGGTCAACTAAGACTGCCCTGTTGGAGGATATCTGAGAGTCTGCATAGAACAAATTCTTCAGCTATTCTGCAAAGCGAGAGGGGTTGTATACACCTGTGAGTGCAAGTAAGGGAGCCGGAGGTCCATCTCAGATGCCTTACTTTGTTGGTTTCTATGCTATTTTGTAAAACTGGATCCTTCAACGAAGCTGGAACTCACCACTTAGCTAGCCTGGCTGGCCAGCAACTCCTTGGATCCTCCTGTCTCCATCTCCTAGTTCTGGGATTATAAAGATGCATCTTTATGCCTGGCTTTCTATGTGGTTTTTAGGGATCTGAATTCATAGCTTCGTATTTTTGCAGGAAATATTTTACCCACTGAGCTCCCTTCCCCAGCAAGGCAATACAATAGTCATTTTATTTATTATTTTATTTACATGTTTATCATTACATGTCTACATCCTAAATGATGTAGCACAATGAAATAAGTGCTTTATTTTTGTTCATTTTTAGGATCTATATTATCCTAGCATATAATAAGCATTCAGAAAATAAGTGTATGAACAAGATTAGTAGCATCCATAATGCTCTGTTCCTGTAGGCTCTGGTGAATACACAGAGGTGCAGGGATGCTTGAGACATAGGTTCTGCCCTTGATAAAAGCAACTCAGTAGCTTAATAATCTTGTATATATTCAGTATACATTTTACAGAGGTAAATTTTTTATTAATTTATTTATTATGTTCTGCATGCATGTATGCCTGCAGGCCAGAAGAGGGTGCCAGATCTCATTACAGGTGGTTGTGAGCCGCCATGTGGGTGCTGGGAATTGAACTCAGGACCTCTGGAAGAGCCACCAGTGCTCTTAACTGCTAAAGCATCTCTCCAGCCCCAGTAAAATTTTTTCATTACGTCAATTTTACGATGTCCTATTATTTTTAGTTCCCCAAAGTGATTTCAAATCAGATGTTTCCAGCAAGAAGTTCCACTGTCAATCTCCAGATACAGGATAAAGAGTTTGGCCTGAAACTGCTCGACTTGTTTTGCTTCTTCAAGTACCATTCCCAGAGGTGATTCACGGACTCAGTGATTCGTGTTCATGGGGTCTTATGTAGGTGCTTTCTGAGTCAGATGGGGCGAATTCTTGCCCTTGTCCTATACCTCCTCCTGTATAGACATATATTCTTCCTTGAATCTCTTTGCAGTATGAGACTCCTCCTATCAAGAGGAGATGTTGAAGGCTGGGGTGGGGGACTGAGAGAAAGAAGCACTTGCTTTGCTTGTCTAAGGACTGTAACTAAGGTCCACAGAACCCATACAAACGCTGGGTGAGCCTGATGTTCCTCCTGTAATTCCAACATTGAAAGGTGGAGACATGGAATCCTCTGGGGTAAACTGATTAGATAGACTAGTCACATCAGCAACCTCTGGGTTCAATTGAAAGACCTTGCCTCAATGAAAGACAGAGAGTAGTTAAGGAAGATTCCCAGTCATCCAACTTAGGCTGCCACATGCGAGCATACACATAACCACATGCAGCGCGTGTGTGCGCGCACACACACACACACACACACACACACACACACACACTAGCACACACATACATAAGAGCATCCACAGATACATTACGTTTACATTCAGAAAAAGCAAGGAAGGCAGTTTATTCTTCGTCCCTTAAACTGAACTTGGTTGAATGTGTGGCTTCCTTTAGCTAAGATGATATGGTTATCTTAGGCTAAGATGATATAAGGTGAGTGTTGTAATGCACATGTGTCTGCATTGCATCTGTATGAGGGTTTGCCCCTCTTGATACATTTTGGGATTATTGTCACAAGAAACGTGAATTATTTTGGGCTGCTCTACCGGTAGCTGGGCGACACGTGACCCCATTAGCACTCTACCACTGGTGAAAGCCAGTCAACTACAAAAGATGGAGAGCATTGGCTTGTGATTGACCTTCAGCCAGTGGTCTCCATCACTTCCTTTATTGGCTGCCTTTAGCATAGGGTAGAGATAACATCAGCCAGATGGAAAATGTTCACGTCACATCAAAGCTTGCTGAAGAATCTGAGCGTTGATCTGGCAGAAGCTGCACTCAGGCCTGGGTGAAAGTCAGCAGCTACAAGAAGGTATTGGAGACCACGAATCACAGGCCAATCACATGTGTGAGGAAGCAAATTGGCGGCATATGGCGCAGAGACCAATTGTCCTAGCTGATGAAACCCACAATTGTTCCATGCATTTTTGGAGAACTACATGATAAGTGTTTTAAGTCACTTAGTCTTGAGTGGGTTTATTGCATAACAAGGCTGACTTACATGTGTTCTTAAGCTGGTCCTTTAAAAACATTTTAAATGGAGTAGTCTCAAAAGCAGTAATTAAAACTGCTTATGCATAATCCTCAATTCACACATCATATATACATGTACATAGAAATATGGAAACTAGGTAATAGCATTATGAGTGATTTCTCTGTCCTCTGGAGTTTATGAAATTTACTAATTTATCTATAATAAAACTTGGATTTATTTTGAAAATAGAACTTCATAAGTCGAAGTGAGTGGGCCGTTTCTCCCAGCTCATCTCTGATGGCTCGTCAGCAAATTGTGCCGTGACCCAGACATTTTTTCATCTCTCTTCTGAGGTTACGGCATTATAAAAGTCAGATACCTTGAAGAGATGCCGGTTACTTTCACCCCAAACTCATTTTCCCCAGTGAGAATGTCAGAGGCGCGAGAAGGGCCTACACAATGATAATCTATGTGTCAAGACTCGACTCCCCAAAACATCCTTCAAATGTGAGTGTGCTATATCTCTGGAGTTTGCATAGCCTATATTCTGTTGACGTCTGTACTTCAACAGATAGTATTGTTTAGATTATTTTGATGAGAAATGCAGAAGTCTGGACATGGGAACATAGTACGATAAATGTTTTCTATTTACCCTTTTAAATCAGATGCCTTTTCTTTCTTTCTTTGAGTCTTCTGAATCCAGCATGCACTGACTACATGGATGCTTGCATGAGATTGAAAGCAAGGTGAAGAGTAAGGGGGGGGGCCTTTATTCTCAAGCTTCATCCTGCAAATTCATGATATTCTGATTTATGCTAAAGATCAGAGCTCCTGCCCAGCAGCCCCAAACAACAAATTCTTCAGCATGTGGCAATAACAATGGTGGTCTATTTCAGTAAACCAACTCATCTTTGTGGCTTGTTTCTTAAGATTTTTCTATGTCTGCTCAAACACTGGGAAATTATTTTTTCAGTAAGGTCTTCTCAAACTAGTTAAGAAGACTTGATCATCTGTTTCTCACAGCGACTTGGAGATCTTGAAGGTAGGTACATTAAAAGGAAGACAATAGATACAGGCCAAGAAAAGTCAGCTTCTCTTATTTTTCAACAAAAAGAATGCAGTAGAAAGATAAAAGAAATTCTCATAGTCTCCATTTCTGCCTGCTCTCACTGTAGAGGATACAAATTCTCCATCAATTTCAGGTCACCAGTAGTTCTGAGTAACAGGATGATACAGAGGAAAGGCAATTTCCTCTCTGCAAGTTCTGAGAAGTGGAGTGGGCGACGTGTGACTAACAAAAATGAGAATTGTGAGAAAGTGTTCCTAGGAGACTAATGCCCATGACAGGCAGTCTGACAAACTAAACAGGGAGGGGACCCAACAGGAAAACCTTACCCGGCCATCACTTGTCAGGAGGATGGAGTCACTCTTTATGTCCCTGTGAATCACTCCTTGGTTATGAAGGTAAGAGAGGGCTTTGAGGACTGATAGGCAGACAGTAGCTATCTGTTCTTCATTCATTCTAGAAAGGAAGTAACATGTAAGGATCAAGATAGTTTCAGGAACAGCTTTCTAATGCTCAAGAGATGCCACTTTCTTGGGTTTCGGAGAATTAGTTTATGTCTCTAGTCCTTGCCTAGAAAACTCCAAATAAAGGAAATGATGGCTCTGGGATGTGATGATTACATAATAAATCCAGGCACTGAGCATTTTAGGGGCCCAATAAAAGTCAAAGGAAAGTGACCACACTTGTTAGTTAGCCTTTGTGCAATTAGTGCAAATTCATGTCCTTGACCTTTCATACTGTAGGCAATCAAGCTGTATTCAACTAGAATTGAGCAACTTTTATTTCCTAACAAGTTCATTACAGTGACATAAAATTTTGCTCCTCTGCTTGTCTCTTCTGTCCTCAGATTAGCCTGGTGGAGCTGGCATACAGATACGATACTGCAACTCAGGAGGATAAAACTAGACTCCATGTTAGTGTTGAGAGGTTCTGCTTTTTGTTACTAAAATGGAATTCTCAGTGGGCTTCTGAGATTGAATCATTGTCTACTGGTGACCTCCAGAGTGTGTGTCTGTGGCGGGGGGGCATGTCAATTTAATGAATGACCAATGTATGCATGATTTTATGAGAACTCTGGGCTTGTATTTCACGAGTGCACAGTGTTATTCAATTATGAAGAAGTTATAGAAGAAGTTATTGAGGTAGTACTTTGAATCATCTGTCTTACCTGGTATGAGTGACAATGTCTGTCAAGGCACCACCTTCTAGAAACTCCATGACCACCCAGAGCTCATCTCCAACAAGGTAGCTGTTATACATGTCAACTACATTGTCATGGTGGTAATCACGCATTATCACAACCTGGATGAATGAGAGAGATTACTTATTTACTTCTGCTAGTGCAGTCTGGTTGTGTTTTCTCTTGTGGCCCACATCGATATTTTGAGTGGAAGGGATTTGGTGCTGGGGAATTTCTTCAGGGGTCTACTGTAGATAAGAGGCATCGGCAGTTTTCAGTGGCAGTAAAAAAGTATCAAGTGGGTATACTTGTGAAGAAATGACAGGCCAAACAGACATTATCAAGATACGAATGGGACCTGTGGGAGAAAAGGTGGAAGGGGGGAAAGAAGGGGAAACTTTAAGATATACAGCAAAATCTGTCAAAGAGGAGGTTTACTGCGGTAGTGGGGAAAAGCAATCAGACATGACAAAGGGGTTTGCACAAATCACTAGTCATGCTTTTCTGTGGACCAATCCACCAAGGAGGCACTGTAAGCTGAGTAAGTGGGTGGTCAGTACGCAAGTGGGTAGTAACTGATGTCCATGAAGTAGGCAATTAGAGGGGCTATAAGACACCAACCTGACTTAGGATGGATCTCAGAGAGAATTGGTCTGAATACAAAGAACATATTTAGATGGTAAAATTAGATATGCTGTATGTGTTTTAAAAAGTTTAAAGGTCAAACTGAGTCTACTTGTCGGAAATTTTTGCCTTGTGGCTGCTTTTGGTTCATTTTCAGTTTGTGCTAAGGAGTAAGTCAGCCCAATCTGTCCTAATACTGCAATTTAGAAAAAAAAATTCCAAGAATCAGAAACAGGATATAGGGGAATGTTCAAGCCTACTTATCTGCAGCTCTCTGCAGCTTCCAGGAATGCATAAGAAATGAGCATCTTGTGGGAACCAGAGATGTGGGAGGCCACTGGGCATCATGGAGCCTCCATTGATAAGGTTTCTAATGTAGCTGAGAGCACTGGTACAGTGTTCATATGTCAGTTCACTTCTGTATACTTATAGGAGAATTGAGAATGCTGTCAGGAGGTTAAAGGTCTCAAGCCTCAAGCAACCATGGCTTATTCTGGAGATGTGGACTGCACATCCTTTGTCAGAGCTTGACATCTCTATCAAATCATTTCTTTCCCCATTGCTAATAAAGTTATTAAAGGAAAAATACTCCAAAACACTGTTATTTTGTAACAGGTGCTTATTTTAAAGCTCCTAATTTTTATATATATATATATATGTGTGTATATATATATATGACAAATATAATAAAATCAATGTGAATACATATAACATAAAATTGTTGTCTCAATTATTCTTAGCAATAAAGCAAATGTCATAACTCTAATGGAAATGCAAACAAAGGACATATGATTCAAAGAAGAGCTTAAATGGCATGTGAATATACAAAAATAAACTTATCCAACTATCAACAAAATTCCAGTTAAAATAATGTTTGTCCATGTCTATTAGAACAGAAGAGATAATGGAGTATTTAATAATGCCAGTAAATGTGACAGAGAAATGTTACTGGTAAAGGCCTAAATTGGTACTTTCTAAAAACATTATATATTAATTCTCTAAAAGCTACATATATTTAAGTGTCATTTGGCTTATTTGTCCTACTTTATGACTCTAATAAGATTACAAAACATGAAGTCAAAAATCATTCACTGAAAACAATATAAATTGGGAAGATTGCTTTAATGAGTATGGATTACATATATGATGGAAGAATTTGAGGCTATTGAAATGTTATAGTTGATATATTCAACTATAACAATGTACTTTCTAAAACTTTATTAACATGAAATTAAATTCTAAATTAAACAAATTAAAATAAGAAGCTATCAGGCTACATGTATGGTATAAGTAAATAGGAAAATATAAGAAAAATTATAAACTATTAATGTAGGCCACTGTTGCTTAGTTTTGGAGTTATGGTTATACATATATGTATATGATTGGAGGCCTTGTGTATTCATGAGTCACTTATCCCTTCAATCAATAAACATGTATGGAAGGTAGTTTTTAAAATGAGTACTACAATACAGATTTCTCCCTTGTGATTCTATAAATGATGTAATATAACAAATATTAGTATTCCATTTGCATTTTATTAGATATTAGAAGCAATCTGCAAATGATGTAACACACATAGGAGACCATTATAGAATAAATGTAAGCATTATATATCCTTATTAAAAGGTCATGAGTAGGTATGAAGTTGAGGGTTGGCAGAGATTCGAAGATACATCCTCCAGAAATGCTGAGAAGTCAGTCCGCCCATGGAGACAGACAGCACTGTGTGAGTTCTAGAATCTGTTGGAATGCCCTCAAACCCTGGCTTCATTGTCAATTAGTCATATTATCCTGGGCTAGTTATCTAGTTAATTAACCAATCTGAGCTGCTTTGTCTCTCAAATAATAACAGCACCCTTATTGGTTATTGCTCAACTAGACTTGTGCCTAGTGCAGTGGCTGATACAATGGAGTACTTTAGAAAGGGAGCAGCCACGCATGCATGGAACGAGACTGGAGGAAGGATAATGGGAGTGCTGGTATTGGCTTTCTATTTTCAGTGTCATTCTCTCTCTCTCTCTCTCTCTCTCTCTCTCTCTCTCTCTCTCTCTCTCTCCCTCTCTCTGTATGTAGTGGTGTGTACATGGCTATGAATAAAGGACAACTTTGAGTGCCCTTGCTCAGGAGTGCCATTGTGGCTTTTGTTGTTGTTGTGTTTTCTTTTGTTTGTTTTGTTTTGAGACAGGGTCTTTCATTAGCCAGGGATTCACCAATAGGGTAGGCTGCCTGGCCAGCAAGCACCAGAGTGGACCAAGTATGAAATTGGAGATCTCCCAGCACTGGGATTATGTGCTCACATCACCATGCTGTTTTTTTGTTTGTTTGTTTTGTTGTTACTTACCTTGAGTTTTCTGGATAGAACTGAGGCCCTTATGCCTACTTATCAAGCACTTTATTGACTGAATTTTCTTTCCAGCCCCTACATGCGGTGCTCTGGGGATAGGAAGCAAATGCTACAGCAACATGTGAAAGAGGCGATCTAAACACAGCATTTACCTCATTAAAAAGGAGTTCCCGCCTTTGTTGTTTTCGGAGGTCCATTTTCTTCACCGCCACTTGCTTTCCTGTGTGCTTCTCAGTTGCAATGCACACAATGCCTGTCGATCCCTCTCCAATTTTGATAAAGTTATCCAAATATTCCCTGGGGTCACCTGGACTGACCACAAGTTGTAGGGCCGCCCGGAACTGTTCATGGGATACCCTAGAGGGCTGCTGGTCTGAGGAGGAGCCCCAGCTAGGTGGAGGGTAGGTGCTGGAGGAGATGCTGAGGGAGCTCAAGTAAGAAGCAGTGGAGATGTACTGAGAACTGGTTTGCAGGGAAGGATGGTGGTACAGGGTGGCCTTGTGGTACCCAGAAGGGTACTGTTGGCCGCTTGAAGAGCAGCCTGCTTTGCTTTGACTTTGAGGTAGTTTGGCGGGGCCTCTTGGATAGGTGTCGGACCCGGACAGTGGAGGACTGAAGACCATCTGTGCTCGATCGTAATCCACCTGAGAAGAAAGACACAGATGACCAGCAGTTATTAGAACTGAATTTGAATCTGAAGCCTATGATTGGCAGAAGAATGAGAAAAGGCAGTGCTAACAGGATCTGGTCGCACAGCTCCAATGCCGGCTACCCCCCAGGAAAGACCCTTCCCACACCCATGCTCCATACTACTATCTCCAGCCAAGAGCTGATTTGATTCATCTGGTTATTATCCAAGACAGCCTTTTTTGTTTATGCCTGAAGAATGAAGGAAAGACCCTATGATGAAGGACATTGGTTCTCAGGATCTGGGGAGAAATGTCAAGGTAGGAAGGAGACATTCCCCATGCTTCCAGACTTATTTCCTTGAAGGTGGCATGTGGCATTCATACCCACAACACAGGACCTATACCTCTCAAAGGTAAAACATGGCTCCTGGTACTAAATAGCTTTTGCCTCCATGTGGAGTATAAAGTAAAACTGTAACAATTTCAGGAAGTTCAACTGTAGTTGAGAGTGAAGAAAACTTTCAGGTATTCATGAGAAAAGAGTATTTGGCCTTGGCCAGCCTTCAATGAGATTCCAGGACAGATCATTCCACTTTGACTTTGAAGAGTAGGGTTGAAGGAATGTGGCAGTGGAGAAATGAGAGAGAAAACAGAACAAGGAAGGACAAGGAAATCAGCAAAGGGATCATTGTTGTGTCCATTCTAATGCCCCCAGGCTTGTGGTGCAGTTTCTCCTGACAGAAATCACTTGCTCTACCCTTCTTCAACTGCTCTGTTGTGTGATTATATGAACTCAATAAAAGTGGCAACAACACAGCACCTTTAATTGAAAAAAGGAGATGTTGATGAAGAAGAAGGAGGGGAAGTAAAAGAAGAAGATGGAGGAGGAGGAAGAGGAGGAAGAGGAGGAGGAAGAGGAGGAGGAGAAGAAAAGGTTCCTGGCAAGATTAAACTAGAAACTGAAGCCCATGAGCTATTCTGAAAGTACCTCCTCCAGCTCATGTCCAGTTCTCAGATGGCAGTAGCCATGCATGATTATTTGATTGCAACCTAATAAGAGATACCAAGACAGAACTGATCACCTAAACTCTCCAAATTACTGGCATTCAGAAATGGTAAAATATTAAATGCTTGTACTTTAGATCTAGGAGATAATGTGTTGAGCAAGGATATTATTTTGTTTTGTGAGATAGTTTGTTACACATAAATTGATAACCAATACAATGGGAGATCCGACCAAAGAATTTGTGCATGATAGTAACTGTTTACTGTTTCAAACCATGAGATTCTGGGATAATTTGCTAAGCAGCAATAGATAACTTACTCATGGATAAATTTCATGAACTCTTCTATGACTACATTAAATTTGAGAGCGTTATTAGACACCCATGTTGACATGACACTTAAATGACTTAGACTTCTTTACCTGCAAGGATGGGGTGAAGGTAAAGATGTGAATGTGAGAGCCATCAACGCTAACTTAGAATTAAAGGCAGGATGTTAAATTTATAATAAAAGGCCCAAGGAATCCAATCTATACATCGAAAAGAGAAGAATGACTCTTTAAAAACGAAAAGGGAAGTAGTGGCCAGTGATGCAGGAAGGAAAAATGAAGGCATCACAGAAATCTGGAGTCAAGTATTTCATGAAGAGGTAAATGAGGGGTGCTAAACGTTTATTGAAAACAAAATGGAATGGACCCTTCACTCTATGAACCAGGCAAGATGGTGGAGGGCAGGCGTCACAGCTTCCGCCCACTGCATGGAAGGAAGTTCATTCCATCATGAAAGGGAGCAAAGACTGCTGACAGTGCTGTCTTGAAAACCATTACCTTTACACCATTCTTAGCTGCTCTGTACTGATGACAGTGACATCAGGACACATGCAAAGGCTAGCTGTCCTAACTTCAGGGATAACACACTACATTCAGATGGATCCACCACCCTGATGGACCAGGTATCCTCTAAGCAATGGTCCTGTCTCATATGCGGAGGAATATAGTTAGTATATCCTGACTCTGATATCTTCAGTTAACACACTCAGCGTCTCTGTGCCTCAGTTTCCTCATTTGTAAAATGAAATAATGGTAAAAATATTAATATCTCACTGGGCAGTGGTGGCGCACACCTTTAATCCCAGCACTCGGGAGGCAGAGGCCGGCAGATCTCTGTGAGTTCGAGGCCAGCTTGGTCTACAAGAGCTAGTTCCAGGTCAGGCTCCAAAAGCTACAGAGAAACCCTGTCTCAAAAAAACAACAACAACAAAAAAATTAACATCTCATTCCTTATATTGTTGTAGGAAACTCCAGAAGATTATGTAGATGTGAAATGAATTGAATCATGATGGGCCAATAAATTTTAATAATACTATTAGAGTTCTATGACGTACTTAGAATAACAATGGCAATATAAAAGAAAATAAACAATAACCTCAAAAACAACAAAACTAGCTAACATTTACATAAGATGTACAGCATGCTAGTGTTACATATGTTCCTGTACATTAAGTTCTTAAAATAATGAGACAGTGCTTTCAATTGTAATACATTGAATGATGTGTTATAGTTAACCTACTCTATAAGAAAATGGGCTGCTTTCTAAGGCCCTATGTCTATACGTGTGTGTGTGTGTGTGTGTGTGTGTGTGTGTGTGTGTATAATGGGAGCAGGCTAGAGTAACATCACTGTAAAAACAATTAGACTCTTGCTTTACATTAAACTTCTATTCACCAAGGGCAGGCTTATCAACCAGACCATCAGGAAGAGCCAAGTAAGGTCTGAAACTTTTATTTTTGAAAGCAGATCTTAGAGCCTCAAATGTCATCACTATCCAAAGTCCTAATAAGAAGATTTTTTTTTCTCTCATACTTAAGACAAAGTTGCATTCACTTCCCATGAGTTTGTAGAACTGATTGCTAAAGGTATATTACAAACAGCAAAACTATGGCCAGTAGGAATTGTAAACACACTTCACACTACATTAGGGTCATTTTCTCTTTGATCATCTGTCAGGAACATTAATAGGATCTACTCTGTGCAAATAGCTTGTGGAATAAAAAAAGGAGACCCACGCCTGCATGAAGGGGACAATTTCCTCTTACAGACAAGACAGAACTGTTTTCTGAGAGCTAAATGTCTTTGAAATTAGGTGTTTTAGATAAGAATATGCAATTGTCTTTCATGGCTGCTGGAAAGAGGTTCAGACTCTTAAAAAAACTAGAGGAACAACCACAATGGCAAGGAACATTTTTAGAACCAAACTGAATGCCTCAGAAAAATGAACTGTCTGCTTCAGGCAAGTGAACATGTGGTCTCTCCTTGGGGCCTTTCTCCATTCAAGGGAATGATAGCAGACAATCAGGCTCCCCAAAGGAGAAGTGCAGGGGTGATCCCCTTGGGACCATAGGATCACCAAACTGTTGCCTTCACTCTGATCTTAACCAACTGCAATGATGGAGCAATGTTACTGGCCCATGTCTTTGGCAAAGACCTCATTCCCTTTAACTCAGCTTTGTTTTCAATAAAATTAAGGCTTGGGAAGATAAAATGTCCCACAAGCAACTCAGGCCAATGACCCCACCCTCCTAAGAAGATCATAGGAACCTACCACTTCTGCTGAGGTCTAATCTGTATTCACAGAAAAAGGCTTCTGAGTGGCCTGAATACTTAGCACGTTGGTACCCAGATCTGATGTCTGGCCTGCTTTGATAGACACACCTTTAATTGTCACCACCCTGATCTGTGCAATGAAAGCTGAGGTTCTTCTTGTGGCTAAAATGCTCTGACAGTTCCCTGGGGCCAAAGTTGGGCTCCCTCCTTATGAACTACTTTATTAAGAATCTGTTCTTGCAGGAAAAATGACACGAATGACAGCATTTGCTGAGTGCTTCCCAGGTGTCAAGGACTATTCTAAGTACTCCAAGTACGTCATGGCATTTCAGCCTCACTTTAAACAGTAAGACCCGCAATTGTTCTATTTTTATAAGAGGACTGGGACATAGTGTGTTTGACGTAAGACAAAGCCTTAAAGCTCCTAAGACGGCAGAATGAGAGCGCCAACCTGCCTTGAGTCATTTGTCACTCGGGTGCTATGTAAGTTCACTGAGACTGGTGTCAGTGATGGCGGATGTGGAGTGGACAGAGAAGGACAACATCTACCATGACAGAGAATAGGGAAGGCATAGTGTTCATTTGGGACCCTAGGTACCTGATTAGCCCCGAGAAAGAGATAAGATTTGGATCAGAAAATGATCGATGATAAGGTCTATGGAAATGGGATGGAAGAAAAAAAAATAGGGTTGTATTTTTGTTCTTAACAGTCTTGACTTGGTTAAGTCTAACTATACAAAAATTGGTTGTTCTCAGAAATGTGATTTGATCATTTATGTACACAACTCATTTCTTTTCAGTTTTGCTTTGGTCAAAATCATCTTTTTATCAGTGACACTGATGCTCCAGCTTTCACCTCTATGCTCGGCCACAAAGGGAAAGCTGGTTGCTTTGCTGTGATGTGACCACCACCCCCTCGTACACGCCCTTGACATCTGTACTCGTCCCTCTACCTTGTCTTTCTTGTGGTGGTCTGTAATAGGGAGTGGCGAAGCACAGGTGAATCTGCCTGTGTATATGTTGGTATATGCATGCGCTCACGGTGTATATGTTTGTATATGCATGTGCTCACGGTGTATATGTTTGTATATGCATGCGCTCATTGTGTATATGTTTGTATATGCATGCGCTCATGTGTATATGTTTGTATATGCATGCGCTCATGGTGTATATATTTGTATATGCATGCGCTCATTCAGAGGAGTCAAACAAGCTGTGAAATCTTTTCTTCCTGTAATTTACAGACATGTTCTAGAAGAAAATGGAACAGCCATGGCGTTTCATATACGCATGTCTCTAGTAGTTGTGAGGAGATCTAAGGCGAATCATTAAAGTGGAGTTACAGCTTCAAAACAGATGGTAATTACTAAATGAATCAATGCGCCTAGAAAAGTCAGGGTCTAAACCA